GAGGGAAGTGGGTGGTTTTGGTGACAGCAGTGGTATGAACAAGATAGGTGCAATACAGGCCCTCAACCGAGATGGTCACTTCAAGGAAAGGCAAGAGAACTTGGAAATGGGCAAAAATTCTGAGGAAGAGTTAGTGGGAATAAAACATGAAAACAGGTTACAACCTAGTTATTGGGGTACAGAACAGTACTTCTTTTTGGTGCTACAGACCTTGGAATGAAGCAGAACTCAGGTTTCTAAGAGCTCTAGAGTTAAGGAGGCCAGAGAAGTAGAACAGCCTTTCTATGTGGGATGAGAGATATATGAAACAACTCTTTAAAAGTATCACTCAGAGAGGGCTCAGTTATTTTATATATATAGTATATATATCAATAAATATATTATATATTAATTAATTAATTTAAATTTAATCAATTAATTAACATATATATTATATATAATAACTTTCTGTATAAAGCAATAGAAGATTATTTCTGCTAGTTAGCAAGGGTTCCTGGAAGCCTGTCTATCTGACTATCCTTGTTTTTGAGGAGTGGTGAGGTGTGTTTAGGACTTGATTAGTTCTACTGGACAGCTGAGAGAGGCAGAACCTTTGTCACATGGGTTACAGTATCATACAGACCATCTACCTGGTCTCATTGCTTCTTTTACACTAGTCCAAAATTACATCTAAAAATAGATAGTATAGAGAAGCATAAAAACCTTGAGGTTTTTTTTTAATATTTTTATTTATTTCTAGGAGAGAGAGAGAGAGACGGCGTGAGCAGGGGAGAGTCAGAGAGAGAGGGAGTCACAGACTGAAACAGGCTCCAGGCTCTGAGCTGGCAGTCAGCACAGAGCCCGACGCGGGGCTTGAACCCACGAACCGCGAGATCATGACCTGAGCGAAAGTTGGGACGCTTAACCGACTAAGCCACCCAGGCGCCCCAAAAACCTTGAGTTTTGAAGTTAAGTATGTTTGGGTTATAATTTCCTTATTTAGAAAATGGAAGTGGTTAAAACACCTACTTCACAGAGTAGTTTTGAAAGCTAAGTGAATCAACATATGTAGAGTCCTTTGTGTGATACCTGGAACATAGTAGGATCTAACAAACAAAATGCCTTCTCAAAATTCTTCAGTGGTTTCCTGTGATAAAGTCTTTACAAGCTGGCTTCATTATAAAAACAAGCATTTGTTTCAAACTTAGCTGTCTTTTCTTTTTTTTCTTTTCTTCCTTTTAGAGAGACAGGAAGAGAGTATGCAAGCGAGGGAGATGGGCAGAGGGAGAGAGAAAGAAAATCCCAAGCAGGCTCCACACTCAGCACAGAGACTGATGCGGGGCTTCATCTCTCAACCCTGGGATCATGACCTGAGCTGAAATCAAGAGTGGGACGCTCAATCAACTGAGCCACCCAGGTGCCCCAACTTAGCTGTCTTTTCCACTAGATTATAAGCTACTTGAAGGCAGGAATCCTATCTGTTTTATGCCCTCAACAATCAGCACTATTACTTGCACAGAGCAGGTACTCAATATATAACTCATTGAATGAGTAAGTGAACATAGTATCTTTTTCTATGCACCCTCCCATTATATGTAGCTCATAAGCACAATGCTAAAAGATGCTGTTTAGAATAACCCTGATGCTATGTAGGATCCTAAAATGTTAAGGGAATTCTCATACCTATCTAATTTCACTGAATGACACAAATTATTTTATGCTTTCTCTCACTCCTGAATATTCCAGGATCCTGGGGGCAGGTATTATATGGACAAATGAAGCCCAAAATACTAGATCAATACATAACTTTAACATTCTCTGTCCTTTTTTGCCAAAACCTTTATAAGGCAGACAATTGGACAGCTTCAAAAAACTAAGAGTTAAGTAGTTGTTTTGACAGAATGAACTGGTTTAAGGTTAAGTGATTATAATTGCAAAACTACTTTTTAAAAAAATCCCAAACTCTTAACATGCAATAAAGCAACAAAGTAGATTTTTAGCAACAAAAATGTTGTATAATTACCATTCACTTGGTTGATTTCTGAGTTGGAAGATAGAATCTCATCTGCCAATTTCTGCGCAGTAGGAAGAACTTCAGTGTGGTGTGCCGTGATTAAATATTGAATAAACTTCTGTAGCTGGTCCCTATTCATCTGGAAAAGGGTTTCTGAGATAGGAAGACGCAATTTGACTTGGTCTGGTTTACGGATCCTGTAGAGTGAGAGTGCCACCACATGAGCACAGTAGAATATGTCTTTGTTTCCACAGCCACATGTCACTGAGGTGATTTTGCATCGATCAAAACTGATTGCAACTTTGTAAGTCACTGCTGGTTCAGAAGTAGTAGCTGGCTCAGTTACTGTACCACTGAGATGGAAGCCTAAGGAAACAAAGAAAGTGTGTTTAGAGATTCTATGGTAAGAAACTTGAAAGATTTTCATTTTGCATTTCACTTAATCAATTCAGAAACTTTTTCTTAAGTATCTCCTGTATATGTGGTAGGCTCTGCCATAACACAAAGGTCAGTGGAACTCAGGTACAGCTCTAAAGGAACACAATACCCAGAAAAAGAATCCTTACCCTGGAGTCTACAAACCTCATCAACTAACATGAAAATCTGTTTCGTACACATGTACATTTCCCAGGGGGCAGGGTTGGTTCATAGCTTTCATCATAGTCTAAAAAGATTAACAAAGAACCACAAATAAGTTAGGAACCTCTAAGGTAGACTGTAAACTCTTTGGGAGCAAAGACAAGTCTACAAATAACATCAGTACAATCTAGATTAAGGCAAATGCTATTATTCCAAGAGAAACTGAAGGAATACCATGAGAAGGGACAGGAGAAAGAACAAGGAGAATACAGACATTTCTTCCTTAAAACATACAATTCCAAAATGGTGCAAGAAACCTCATAAAATACGGAAAGCACAGCTTGGTGCAGTGAGACTATGGAGTGTTACATTTTGACTTACTAGCATATAGCATTAATAATTTTGTAATGTAGGGAGAAAAATTCAGTCATTTAAACCAAAGTTTAATGAGATCTTAAGTTTCAGACTACTAGGCCTAGAGATATTAACAAAACAAAGGAGAAGGATATAAAGTATTTGTAAAGCACTTATCCTGTAGCAGAACTATATTTGGTGCTTTTAATAATTTATCACAACATTATGAAGTTGTTAATATTTTCTTTATTTTTTATTTTATTTTATTTAAGTTTATTTATTTTGAGAGAGAGTGTGTGCACATGAGCAGGTGAGGGGCAAAGAGAGGGGGAGAGAATCCCAAGCAGGCTCCACACTCAGCACAGAGCCCAACACAGAGCTCTGTCCCATGAAATATAAGATCATGACCTGAGCCAAAATCAAGTGTCAGATGGCTAACCGACTGAACTACCCAGGCGCCCCTATTTTTCTTATTTTAAAGTTGTGTAACCTGGAGCTCAGAAATGTTAAGTAATTTGCTAACACCTCTCAGGTAGCAAATGACAGACCTGAGTTTTGGAACCAGGTCTGATTGACTCCAAAGTTCATTTTCTTTCATTTATATTACACTGCCTCTAAAAGATGCCATGACAAAGTCCTTATCCTCAAATCTCACAGACAAATAAATAAATAAATGATTACAATATGATGTGTCAAATGGTATAGTATGGACAGGAGACTCCTGCTTAACTGCACTGCACACTGTGAACCGGAAAGCATTTTAAATAAACTTTCATCTTTTGGAGACTATTTGACAAATAATAAAGATGTATATATAAGTTTCAGGGCTACCATTGTAACCCAGCAGAATTAAAAAGTACAGACAGAAAACTTTCCAAATTTTAAGTTTCAGATAATCATGGTTATTAAAATAAGAATAAGACCCAAATTTAAAAACATACAATCTGGTTAAATTAACAGTACTAAAGGTGTGATAAGTATGATAACACTTGTCTAAGATAATCTCCCTATTTTTTTTAAATTTTTTAAATATAGTTTATCGTTGGGGCGCCTGGGTGGCTTAGTCGGTTAAGCATCCGACTTTCGCTTAGGTCATGATCTCACAGTTTGTGGGTTCGAGCCCCGTGTTGGGCTCTGTGCTGACTGCCAGCTCAGAGCCTGGAGCCTGTTTCAGTCTGTGACTCCCTCTCTCTCTGACCCTCCCCTGCTCACGTTGTCTCTCTCTCTGTCTCCTAGAAATAAATAAAACATTAAAAAATATATATATAGTTTATCGTCAAGTTGGTTTCCATATAACACCCAGTTCTCATCCCAAGCGCCCTCCTGCATGCCCATCACCCATTTTCCCCTCTCTCCACCCCCTATCAACCCTCAGTTTGTTCTCAGTATTTAAGTGTCTCTTATGGTTTGCCTCCCTCCCTCTCCTTAACTATTTTTTCCCCTTCCCCTCCTCTACGGTCCTCTGTTAAGTTTCTCCTGTTCCACATATGAGTGAAAACATATGGTATCTGTCTTTCTCTGCTTGACTTATTTCACTTAGCTAATACCTTCAAATTCCATCCACATTGCTACAAATGGCCAGATTTCATTCTTTGTCATCACCATGTAGTGTATTCCATTGTATATATAAACCACATCTTGATCCATTCATCAGTTGATGGACATTTAGGCTCTTTATATGATTTGGCTATTGTTGAATGTGCTGCTATGAATATTGGGGTGCATGTGCCCCTATGCATCAACACTCCTGTATTCCTTGGGTAAATTCCTAGCAGTGCTATTGCTGGGTCATAGAGGGAGTTCTATTGTTAATTTTTTGAGGAACCTCCACACTGTTTTCTAGAGGGGCTGTACCAGTTTACATTCCCACCAACAGTGCAAGGAGGTGCCCATTTCTCCACATCCTTGTCAGCATCTACAGTCCCCTGATTTGTTCATTTTGGCCAATCTGATCAGCATGAGGTGGTATCTCAGTGTGGTTTTGATTTGTATTTCCCTGATGAGGAGGGATGCTGGGCATCATTTCATGTGTCTGTTGGCCATCTGGATGTCCTCTTTGGAGAAGTGTCTGTTCATGTCTTCTGCCCATTTCTTCACTAGGTTGTTTGTTTTTCGGGTGTGGAGTTTGATGAGTTCCTTATAGATTTCGGATACCAGCCTTTTATTTTCAACTATCTTTTCCCATTCTGTCAGTTGCCTATTAGTTTTGCTGATTGTTTCCTTTGCCGTGCAGAAGCTTTTTATCTTGATGAGGTCCCAATAGTTCATTTTTGCTTTTGATCCTCTTGCCTTTGGGGATGTGTCAAGTAAGAAATTGCTGCAGCGGAGGTCAAGGAGGTTGTTTCTTCTAGGTTTTGATGGTTTCCTGTCTCACATTTAGGTCCTTCATCCATTTTGAGTTTATTTTTGTGTATGGTGTGAGAAAATGATCTAGTTTCATTCTTCTGCATGTTGCTGTCCAGTTCTCCCAACAACATCTGTTAAAGAGGCTGTCTTTTTTCCATTGGATACTCTTTCCTGCTTTGTCAAAGATTAATTGGCTGTCTTTTTTACATTGGATACTTTTTCCTGTTTTGTCAAAGATAAATTGGCCATACATTTGTGGGTCTAATTCTGGGTTCTCTATTCTATTCCATTGGTCCATGTGTCTGTTTTTGTGCCAATACCATACTGTCTTGATGATGACAGCTTTGTAGTAGAGGCTAAAGTCTGGGATGGTGATGTCTCCTGTTTTGGTTTTCTTCTTCAATATTACTTTGGCTATACGGGGTCTTTTGTGGTTCCATACAAATTTTAGGATAGTCTGTTCTAGCTTTGAGAAGAATGCTGGTGCAATTTTGATTGGGATTGTATTGAATGTGTAGATTGTTTGGGTAGTAATGACATTTTAACAATATTTATTCATCCAATCCATGAACATGGATTACTTTTCCATTTCTCTGTGTCTCCTTCAATTTCTTTCATAAGTTTTATATAGTTTTCATCATACAGACCTTTTACATCTTTGGTTAGGTTTAGTCCGAGGTATTTTATGGTTTTTGGTGCAATTGTGAATGGAATTAGTTTCTTCAATTCTCTTTCTGTTGCTTCATTATTGGTGTATAAAAATGCAACCAATTTCTGTACGTTGATTTTGTACCCTGCAACTTTGCTAAATTCATGGATCAGTTCTAGAAGGCTTCTGGTAGAGTCTGTCGGCTTTTCCATGTAGAGTATCATGTCGTCTGTGAAAAGTGAAACCTCTCACTTTCAATCTCTAGGTATCTTTTGGTCTAAAATGAGTCTCTTGTAAGCAGTCTATAGATGAGTCTTGTTTTTATATCCATTTTGTCACCCCGTATCTTTGATTGGAGTGTTTAGGTCATTTACATTCAAATTAATTATTGATACATATGCATTTATTGGCATTTTATTTGTTTTTTTAATTTTTAGTGTTTATTGTTGAGAGAGAGCGAGAGAGCACAAGCAGGGGAGGGGCAGAGAGATAGGAAGACACAGACTCTCCCCAGGCTCCAGGCTCTGAGCTGTCAGCACAGAGCCCGACATGGGGCTCAAACTCACTAACTGTGAGATCATGACCTGAGCCAAAGTTGGCCGCTTAGGACTGAGCCACCCAGATACCCTGATTTATTATTTGTTTTGCTTCTGAAGATTTTCTCTGATCCTTTCGTGTCTTTCTTTCATGGCTTGCTCATTTTCTTTAGTGATTTGAATTTCTCTTTATTTTTTGCAAATGTAATAGTGGTTTTTGATATATGGTACCATTAGGTTTGTATATAATTCTTCTGCATATAACAGTCTATATTATACTGATGCTCATTTAAGTTGGAATCCATTTTTTACTCCTCTCCTCCCATGTTTTAGGTATATGGTGTCATATTTTACATCCTTTCCTTTTGTGAGTTCCTTAACTATTTTTTTTACAGAAATATTCATTTTTAGTGCTTTTGTGTTTCCTATCTTCACAATATCATTTGTTGTTTTTCCTTTCCACTCAAAGAGGCCCCTTTAATATTTCTTGCAGGGGGACACCTAGATGGCTCAGTGGTTAAGTGTCCGACTTTTGGTTTCAGGTTAAGTCATGATCTCACGGTTTGTGGGTTCAAGCCCCACATCAGGGTCTGTGCTGATGGTGCAGAGTCTGCTTGGGGTGTCTCTCTCCCTCTCTCTCTGTGCCCCCTACCCCCAATTGCTCTCTCTCTGTCTCTCAAAAATAAATAAACTTAAAAATTTTTTTCTTTAAAAATATTTCTTGCAAGGCTGGTTTAGTGGTCATGAACTCCTTTAGTTTTTTTCAAGGAAACTCTCTCTCTCCTTCTATTCTGAATGATACCCTTGCTAGATAGAGTATTCTTGGCTGCAGGTTTTTTTCATTCAGTATTTTGAATTATCATGCCACTTCTTTCTGGTTGGAAAGTTTCTGCTGAAAAGCCTGCAGATAGCTTTATGTCATTTCCTTTGTATGTAACTGTCTTCTTTTATTTTGCTGGTTTT